GATTTCTATGACGCCCATCTCACCAACAGGCGACGGGGCCAGCTTCGAACCGAGTTCAAAATGTTTCGCAGGTAGTCCCGGACTTACAACCGTTTCAAAGTTACAACGGCACTGAACAAGAAAAGGGACTTACGACCGTTTTTTCACACTTACGACCTCTGCGGTCACACGATCCAAATTCAGACGCTTTGGGGAATGGACTCATATTTATGACGGTCAGGATCCCCTTTTGCAACCTTCTGACCAGCGACGTCGCTTAACGAACCTGGGATTCACTTAACGGTTGCAGCGAATTGCTTTGACGACAGTGGCAAGAAAGGCCATAACTCACTGTAACACCTGCCACGCTGAGCAACGGAAACTTTGGACGGAGTTGAGGCCATAAGTCAAGGACTACCTTACGGTTTTAATTTTAGAGTTTTAATGTTAATTTGATTATTTTAACAGATAACAGATCATCAGAGTTGGAAGGGACTTTGGAGGTCATCTAGCCCAACCCCCCTGCCCAAGAAGAACACCCTACACCATTTCGGACAGATGGGAGTCCAGTCTCTTCTCGAAAACCTCCAGGGATGAAGCTCCCACAACTTCTGAAGGCAACTTCTGTTCCATGGGTTGATGGTTCTCCCTGTCAGAAAATTCTTCCTTATTTCCAGGTTGAATCTCTCCTTGGTCAGTTTCCATCCATTATTCCTTCTCTGGCCTTCGGGAGCTTTGGAGAATAGCTTGACCCCCTTCCTCCTCCTCTCTGGGGCAGCCCCTCAAATATTGGAAGATGCTCTCCTGCCTCCCCTGGTCCTTCTCTTCCCTGGACCAGCCAGGCCCAGTTCCTGCAACCAGTCATCGTATGTTTTAGCCTCCATTCTCCTCATCATCCTGGTTGCTCTTCTCTGCACTTTTTCTAGAGTCTCAACATCTTTTTTATAGTGTGGTGACCAAAACTGGATGCAGGACTCTAGGTGTGGCCTTACTAAGGATAGATGGATGGATGGATGGATGGATGGATGGATGGATGGATGGACAGACTAGACTAGCCATGCCCAATTCCTGCAACCATTCATTATATGTCTTAACGTCCAGTCCCTATAGATGGATAGACAGAAAGACAGACACACAGATGATAGATAGAAGTTAGGTAGATAAACATAGATAGATAGATAGATAGATAGATAGATGGATGGATAGATAGAGGCATAGATGATTGATAGATATAAATAAACAGACTAGACTAGCCAGGCCCAGTTCCTGCAACCGTCCTTCGCATGTTTCAGCCTCCAGTCCCCTCATCCTCCTGGCTGCTCTTCTCTGCACTTTTTCTAGAGTCTTTTTATAATCTGGAGACCAAAGACCTGTGAATCCTCCACCACGAAGGGAGGGAACTTGCCAAAACGAGGGGGTGTTTCAAAGAAGGCCACAAAAAAATCAACGGTCATAAATACAAGTCAGTTGCCAAACGTCTGAATTTTGATCAGGTGACCAGGGGGATGCTACAAAGGTCATAACTGCAAAATAAATAAATAAATAAATTGGTCCTAAGTTGCTTTGGCCAGTGCCGTTGTACCTTTGAATGGTCCCTCAGTGGAACGGTTGTCAGTTGAGGACTCCCTGTGTTTGCCGTACGGAATAGCGGAGTGGGAAGGGACCCCGGAGGCCTTCTAGTCTGACCCCCTTCTCATCCTCCCCTTTCGCCTAGGGGCCTTCCTCATACCCTACCTAATCATGGCCATCTTCGGAGGGATCCCGCTCTTCTACATGGAGCTGGCGCTGGGCCAGTATCACCGCCACGGCTGCATCTCCGTGTGGAGGAAGATCTGCCCCATCTTCAAAGGTAACTCGGGGGGGAGCAAGGCTGGGCCACTTATTATGGGATGGTGGGACCGGGGTGAAGGTGGGAATAGAGTGGAAAGGCCAAGACGGGGGGGGGGGGGGGGGGGACCGGGGGGGGGGGGGGGGGAGGGGGGGGGGGGGGGGGGGCCCCCACGCGGCTCGGGGTTTGAACGGCAGGGTCCTTGGTGCTTCTCTTGAGATTGCAGGGTTTCTGGCAGACGTTTTGTGACCCAACGAGGTAGCATCGTCAGTGCTGGAAGGAAAAGGGGTTTGTGGAGGAGGAGGAGGAGGAGGAGAATTGTGGGTTGCTAGGTGCTCTCTGAGCTTGGTTGTTTTTTTGCAGACATTTCATGACCCAATTAGGTAATGTTATCAGTGCTAGAAGGGAGGAGGATTGTGAGGAGGAGGAGGAGGAGGAGAAAATAAGAAGGAGTTGGTGGATGCCAGTGGTTTTCCTACAGACATTTCATGACCCAATTAGATAATGTTATCAGTGCTAGAAGGGAGGAGGATTGTGGGGAGGAGGAGGA